ATTAGAGAAATGCAAATCAAAACTACATTGAGATACCACCTCACACCAGTTAGAATGGCGATCATTAAAAAATCTGGAGACAACAGATGCTGGAGAAGATGTGGAGAAAGAGGAACACTTTTACACTGTTGGTGGGAGTGTAAACTAGTTCAACCATTGTGGAAGACAGTGTGGCACTTCCTCAAGGACCTAGAAATAGAAATTAGGCCGGGAGCAGTGGCTCATGCCTATAATCCCAGCACTTTGGGAGGCCAAGGCAGATGGATCATGAGGTCAAGAGATCGAGACCATCCTGGTCAACATGGTGAAACCCTGTCTCTACTAAAAATACAAAAATTAGCTGGGCATGGTGGCGCACGCCTGTAGTCCCAGCTACTCAGGAGGCTGAGGCAGGAGAATTGATTGAACGCAGGAGGCGGAGGTTGCAGTGACCCGAGATCACACCATTGCACTCCGGCCTGGGTAACAAGAGCGAAACTCCGTCTCAAAAAAAAGAAAAAAAGAAATTCCATTTGACCCAGCAATCCCATTACTGGGTATATACCCAGAGGATTGTAAATAAGTCTATTATAAAGACACATGCACACATACGTTCATAGCAGCACTGTTTACAATAGAAAAGACCTTGAGCCAACCCAAATGTCCATCGATGGTAGACTGGACAAGGAAAATGTGGCACATATACACAATGGAATACTATGCAGCCATAAAAAACGATGAGTTTGTGTCCTTTGTAGGGACATGGATGAATCTGGAAACCATCATTCTCAGCAAGCTGACACAAGAACAGAAAATCAAACACCACATGTTCTCACTCATAGGCGGGTGTTGAACAGTGAGAACACATAGACACAGACAACGGAGTGTCACACACTGGGGTCTACTGGGGGGGGCCAAGGGAGGGACAGCCAGGGAATGGGGAGGTCAGGGAGGGATAACATGGGGAGAAATGCCAAATGTAGGTGATGCTGGGATGGAGGCAGCAAACCACATTGCCATGTGTGTACCTATGCAACAATCCTGCATGAGCTGCACATGTACCCCAGAACCTAAAGTACCACATATATACTTATACATATATATATATTTTAAACAAACTAAAAGACATTCCACATTCTTGGTTGGAACAATTCAACAACAAAGATGTTAACATACCTCATATTAATATATGGAATTGAATAATTCTATTAAAAATGACAACAAACACAAGAAATCCTAGCAATCTTCCTAAGCCAAAAAGCAAGGAAGACTCAAAGACGAATGGGATATCTACAGGACACAGAAGCAGCCTGAAGTAGATCCCACCAACCGAACTGGGGACAATTTTAACTTCAAAAATAATAATGTCTCTAACTGATTATAAATTATTCAATAAGTATCCAAGAGTCCAAAGTAACACTTAAAAAGGGAGGGTGGAGGGCACTGGGAGGAAAGAAGAAGAGCTCAAATTTTTTCCACCACAGGAGATGACTACTGCATCAATGAAACTGCTCCAGACTGAAAGAAACTAATGACTAACAGTAACTTGAGTTTGCAGGATGGCAGATAAGAAAATAAGTGACTTACTGAAATACTAAAACTCCCTCCACTTGTAAGATAAAACTGGCTGAAATTAGTCGAAATCAATACGGCCAACTGGAGTTTTCATAGATGGAGCTTGCTGACATCACAGCCTGAATTCCCACCACGTTTCATACTAACTCCTCCTGAATCTGCAAGTGACTCATGAGGGCATAAAGAGATAACTGAACCACGCTTGAGGACTTTTCAGATCTCCCTTTCCTTCCACCAATCACCTACCGATCCCAGAATCCACTCTCTAAACCTTTTCTAATAAAATTACTGCCTTAAGGCCACCATGAGGAGACAGATTTGAGCTGTACTCCCATCTCCTTGTCAGTGGACTGGCCATACAAAGCTTTTCTTTTCTCAAAAACCTGGTGTCACAGTATTGGTTTCTAGCACATCAGGCAGCAAGCCCCTTTTGCTCTGTAACATCAATTTCTTCATCTGAAAATTGGCAGTTAAAAGGAAAGAATTAAGCATTGTCTCTGCCTTTATAGAAGTTCACCCAGCTGATAAGAGGAAGTTCTTTACAAAAGCTTACTTAATAAATATAGAAATAGTGACATAATTAGAAAATCAACAATTTTAAACAAAATATTTGATTTAGGCAAAGATCATTAATAGATGTCAAGTCCACTAGGTTAAAGACTTTGGAGGACCAGGATATTTGGAAAATAACACTTTTAATAATGAAGCTATCCAGTGGTCACTATCTTAACCAGATGATAAACTTGGCATTACTAATAGTAGGACAACCTGATACTACATACTTCTCAATATAGTGCAAAATGAAGTACATAACTTACCTTTTAAAATATTTTTTTAACAGAAATGTTAACTTTGACTCTAAGCAAGTCCTTACATAAAACTCCAAGTTTACATGCTACAAAAGAATGAAACCTGAAACCCAAAAGAAATAATCAGATAAGTCAGAATGGGGAATTCTACACTCCCTCTTTTTTCCTGCTTGGCCTAAGACCCCTCCCTTCCACTGTCAGCCCCAGCCTCTGTCCTGACTTTGGTAGGCATGGCAAACACTGATGCAGTACATAGAAGAGAAAGCCTGGTTTCTCTTTACTCTCATCCTGGATAGGAGTGGCATGGGCACTGCTGGCAAATTTACCACATTCCTTTGAGAAAGAAGAGAAGTCTCAGGAAAGGAGCGTGCTTGGAAAAATAATAAGGAAGCATCAGTAGAGATTCCAGTGGTGGCACTGAGAGTGACGGTGATGAAGGAGACAGAGCCAGAGCTGAAGAGCCTCAATCCAGTGAGGACTTTCACAAGCCCCAGGATGACACAGGGGTCTGGTAGGATACTGGTGCCAAAAGATTATAAAGTGACCAGGGAGGACAATTCCTACCTCAGACATAAAAATTAGTTTCCTTATCTCAACCTTTAATTTCTTAATGAAATAGTCAATTAATTTCACCTTTTTTGGTGAAGAGATTGCGAAATGTGCCACACAAGTAGAAAACCCCACCGCTGTGCAGATCTACATGGAGTTGGTAGCCGTGCAGTCCATACTCAGGGCTGTCATCCAAAAAGGGGCTATGTGGAGGCAGTTCATAGGGGCTGAAAAGAAAACAAAAGAAGCATACAAACTTGTCAACACCAGGGATAAAATTCCTGGTTTGAAAATACTTTTTAAAAAATTAGCATCCATATCAAAGCACTACCTCCTACAAATGAAATGCCATAGGATTCCCTATAATCTTCAATACCGTAAACTTAAAAGACTGCTTAATGTTCTTTTACCAACTTCCGTAAAAACAGGCAATGATGTGAGTTCCATAGGCAGCCACAGCCCAGTACGGGTGTACGTGCTTCTGCAGCCGACCCCAGGGCGGCTGCACTACAAAGGCCACTCTGCCCCTAGCGTTGTTCTCCGTGTCCAGGGCACAGAAGTGCTCAGCAGGAAAAGGCACTGAACACCGATCTGCAGGGCAGACACCCAGGCAGACCCAAAGCCAAGACAAGCAAAGCTTTATTCAACAAGAAAAAATGACTACATAAAGTGACAAACTCAAAAATACTCAGGAACTTTTCAGGTAATAATAAAAAAAAAAAAAAATGAGTCAGGAAGAGTCTAAGTCTAAGTCCACAGGAAAATAGTGAAATGGGAAGCCTGTGCCCTACCTAAAGACACTCAAATTCATTAAGAAATACTGTCCAGACCAGAAAGAATCATCCGCAGGCCAGAGTTAGCCCAGGGGCCATGAGTCTACATGCCTTGCAAGATGTAAAAATTCACATAACAGCAAAACCTGAAGGACAGTAGTGGCATCTTGAAGCAATGAAATAACATCCTACCAGGTATAAATTCCTTAAACCAAAATAGATGAAGCAAATATGAACTTGTGAATAATCCACCTATTTTAGCAACAGCTAAGTAATTATGCCTGTTGGTCTGCGTTTACTGATTAAAAACAGAGTATCTCTGCAGCTATTCTCAGGATAGTAAGACAGCATCAACTTCTAATACTTTCCTGCATTAAAAATTCAACACACCCACATATAAATACATACATAGTGGCCGAGCCTAATGTGCTCCTCTCCACAAGGTGATGGAAATGAAGATTTGCCATAACAAAAGCCAGTTCTTCCTCCTTCTGAAAAATTAATTGAGAAGAATACATATTTCAACCAAAATGTTTTAATTTTTCACAAGGTCGTTGTGAAGATCACAGTACATTCATCTTGCAGATAGATGCAGTTTCTTACAACCATAAGATCACCACAGTGCTAATGCATTATTACTGTCAATACATTATTACTATCTAATAAGACTTATACTTCATATTGATAGTAGGACCACAATTCACCCCAACATGCAGAGCACACAGGACCAAAAGAACTCACAACCTAGAGCTTGCAAAATATCAAAAGATATATATATATAATGGTTGTGAAAATATGCATTGTTAGTTCCAGGCTGTTTCAAACTCTTTTCAAAGACCTTCACAGATACCAGATTAATTCCACAAATACTGAACCTTACTGACACAATGTTCCTCTTGCAAGTAATTGCTTGATTTGACAAATGTGGTAGGAATGATTAGATTCAAGTTCTTCACTTGTCCATCAGGTCGAATAGCAGAAAATGTGACTATTTGGGAACTGACCTCCATTTCTCCCCAGATTCACAGTTGACACTGATGGGCATAGGTAACCCCAAATGGCAAATCTGAAGGTGTCATCCTCCAGTAGGTAGGCAGAGGACAACTGAAGCCACCAGAGTGTTCACAACTCTGCACCCAACACAGCTGGATGCATGTGAGTCATGAAAGACAGAGCAGGCAACTGTGGCCTCACCCACAAGCCACCTTCACACAGAAAGGAGAGGAGGGAAAGAAAAACTGATGCCCACAGTCAGCTGAGGAAAGGAAAAGGGACAAGAGGATGGTGTTGTCTGAAGCTGGGGTCTTAATTTTATCTAGTCATTGTACATTCATGCATATTACCATCTCAGAATCAGATTTGTCAATGGCTATCTTAAAATATCAGCCTGACCTGGTAAAACAAGAAACCTTATGCAGAGAGAAAAGATAACATCTTAGACACCTCATCATGAAGAGCAGATTTCACTCAATGCCACATCTACAGGATCAGAATGTGCTTGGGAGACGACCAGGCTGAACACACAGAAAGGGTGACGTTAACCGCTACCCTCATCAAGCTACCATTGACCTTCTTCACAGAACTGGAAAAAACCACTTTAAACTTCATATGGAACCAAGAAAGAGTCCACATAGCCAAGACAATCCTAAGGAAAAAGAACAAAGCTGGAGGCATCACATACTACCTGACTTCAAAATATACTACAAGACTACTGTAATCAAAATGGCATGGTATTGGTACCAAAACAGAGATATAGACCAATGGAACAGAACAGAGGCCTTGGAAGAAACATCACACATCTACAACCATCTGATCTTCGACAAACCTGACAAAAACAATGGGGAAAGGATTCCCTGTTTAATAAATGGTGTTGGGAAAACTGGCTAGCCATTTTCAGAAAGCAGAAACTGAACCTCTTCCTTACACCCTACACTAAAATTAACTCCAGATGGAATAAAGATTTAAACATAAAACCTAACACTGTAAAAATCCTAGAAGAAAACATAGGCAAAACCATTCAGGACACAGGCACAGGCAAGGACTTCATGACTAAAACACCAAAAGCAATGGCAACAAAAGCCAAAATAGACAAATGGGATCTAATTAAGAGTTTCTGCACAGCAAAAGAAACAATCATTAGAGTGAACCGGCAACCAACAGAATGGGAAAAAGGTTTTGCAATCTACCCATCTAACAAAGGCCTAATATCCAGAAACTACAAAGAACTAAGACAAATGTACAAGAAAAAAACAAACAAACCTATTCAAAAGTGGGTGAAAGAAATGACCAGACAATTTTCAAAAGAAGACATTTATGAGGACAACAAACATATGAAAAAATGTTCAGCATCACTGGTCATCAGAGAAATGCAATCAAAACCACATTGAGATACCATCTCATGTCAGTTAGAATGGCAATCATTAAAAAATCAAGAGACAACAGATGCTGGAGAGGATGTGGAGAAATAGGAACACTTTTATACTGTTGGTGGGAGTGTAAATTAATTCAACCATTGTGGAAGACAGTGTGGCGATTCCTCAAGAATCTAGAAATAGAAATTCCATTTGACCCAGCAATCCCATTACTAGGTATATAGCCAAAGGATTATAAATCATTCTATTATAAAGACACATGCACATATATGTTCACTGCGGCACTATTTACAATAGCAAAGACCTGGAACCAACCCAAATGCCCATTGACAATAGACTAGACAGAAAATGTGGCACATATACTCCATGGAATACTACACAGCCATAAAAATAGATGAGTTCATGTTCTTTGAAGGGATATGGATGAATCTGAAAACCATCAGAATCTGAAAACCATCATTCTCAGCAAACTGACACAAGAACAGAAGACCAAATACCGCATGTTCTTGCTCATAGGCAGGTGTTGAACAAAGAGAACACATGAGCACAGGGAGGGGAACATCACACACTGGGGTCTGTTGCAGGGGGTGCTAAGGGAGGGACAGCAGGGGGTGAGGAGGTTGGGGAAGGGGAAAGGATAACATGGGGAGAAATGCCAGATATAGGTAACGGGGGAGATGGAGGTAGCAAACCACCTTGCCATTTATGTACCTATACAACAATCCTGCAAGATCTGCACATGTACCCCAAAACCTATAGTACAATAAAAAAAGAAAAAGAAAAAAAATGAAAATGTAGAGACAAAATATAGGGTCTAGGTATCTTGCAAAGAAAAAAAAAAGAAAGAAAGCGAGACGTCAGAGAAAGAGCATGAAAGGAAGAGAAAAAGGAATGTGGACTGATTGGAAGGGAGAACATCACATGACGTTAAAGGAATAACATGAAGAAAAACATGAAGGCAGGAAGTGGTTTGTTGTTTATAATAGCAGAACAGCAGAGCAGCCTCAGTGGAATAGAAAGGGCCATGTTAGCTTGAAAAAATGAAGTTGGTGAGATGGTAAATGGATTGCAGTTACTGAAAAGCCTTAAAGGATTTTACATTTCATGTCATACATAATGATAAGTAAACGTGGTATTGTGATGGGGAAATGACACAGTACATAAGGGACTCAAGTCTTACCTTCCAGAGTCCAACCAGGAGGCCAGGGTGCAGGCAGAAGATCCGAATAAGTCTGTCACAGCCAATCATGGTAGATTCAGTCAAATGACTCAGATTGTACTTTGCAATTAAAGAATGCCATCGGAGTCTTTGAATATTATGCCAAGGGAAGGAGAGAGAGAAGTGAGCTTTCCTGTCTACAGTGCTGTCAGTTCTCTTTAGTGTATCACAAATGTGTCTGAAGAGCATGTTAATGATGTGCTCAAACTAAGTGGCACGTTGGTAGGGTGGGGACACAAATGAATAAATGGCAAAATTGATACATTCAAATTTCCAACCCAGCTAGGTTTTTCTTCCCTTCCATCTTGCTCTTGCTGTCAACTCAACCTAGCCAGAAGGAAGTTGAAGGATCATGAAAGTGATGAAGTGGCAGAACTGTCTCCTGTTCTATTCCTTCCAAACCCAGCACAATACTACAATCTAAAGTAGACTCTCAATGTGTATTCCTAGTCAACTGAGTGAAACAACACAAAAGCAAAGATATATTATTTCAAGTGACATAAGAACAGGTAGTTTCAGGAGGTGGTCGCAAAGCAGCTGGGCCTTTAAAAGTTATTATCAAGGATAACTCAGAGACAGTGAAAGCCGATACATTAGAAATAAACTAAATCACCAGTGTTTTCACAAAGGAGACACTAAGCAGCATTAAACTGAAATCCCTAAGGAGCTGGGGCCACATCTCATTCAAAAGTTGGTGCCCAGCACCTCAGGCACAAGCCAGCAGGCAACAGGTACCTTAAACAAGCGAATTAAAAAGGAGACAAGCTGCAGTCCTGTTTCAAAGTGGAAGGGACTGTGAGGCATCAAAACCAAATCAGTAGCTACGACATGACCCTAGTCCCATGTTCAACTTTTCAAAAGAACTTCTTGTGCAGAGAATCACAACTGGATAAGGAGAGATGGTTGGTGAGTATGTGTGATGATATATTAAAAATAAACCCAGCATATGCAGAATACACTGGAGGAGGTAAATGCAGGGTCCTGAACCTCACTATGGAGTCAGGGAAACCTGAGCTAAAACCTTAGCTTTAATCTACAGTGACTTCATGACTATCACAGCTGGTTCTTTGTGTGTGAGATCACTAGCCTGCTCAGCAGGGACAAGAGCACAGGACACAGGGCAGGTGCTCAATAAATAGCAGTCCCTGTTGGTATCATCACTAATGTGAATACAGGAGGCTGGGTAGGCATGTGAGAAACCCTCTTCTCTCAAAATCTGGCTGTAGAGGTGTTTATTAAATAGACTCAGAAAGTGCTGAGTCCTCATGTGCTTGGCCTTACAGCCACAGACACAGAAACTAAGGCTGACGTTTCCTCAACAGTTCTCACAAATTTAGAGTGGGACAGCACCAGCTGCAGAATAGAAAATGCTGGCAAGGATGAAAATTTAGAGTCTGACTAGAAAGGTATAAATTACAGGGAAATCCAAATTACATCGATAAAGCTTTCACTGTTGTTGAGAAACTTCTCATAGAGGAAACAAAAAAGACCCAAATAAAAATCACAAAGTCTCTTCTTGGCTGTCACACAGATGCATACAAGGAGTTCTATTCCTGAATAATGAAAGCATTCACTTACAAACTTGCAATAAAAGTGCCGATCAAAACAAATTCCTAAAAAACACTTTTAGTTTTTTGGGGTTTTTCTGTATCACAGTATATCAAAGGCTGGCTGAAGTCCATTGAAATTTCACAGAAATAAATTACATCAAATGAATTTTCCCAATGAATTCTAGCATTTGACACTATGTAGTATCTATTACTTCTGACCTTCATGACAATTTCAGGGACATACTGTCTTTAACTGGGCTTTACAATTCAACATTATCCTTTTAACTGATTCTTCAGGATCATTTGAATTAATGTTAACCATTTTGTCCTAATATCTGTAAATAACATTTCATGATATGCCAAGTAACATATACTGTTTAGCAAAACTAGCACAGTTTGTGGACTTATTCTCCAAACATAATTTTGAAATGAATAAACCCTAACTACAACATTAGAAAAAGCTGGTTTCCTTTATGATATCATATGAAATTTCAAAGATTTATCCAAATAAAAGTACCATTTTTTAAAAAGGTAACTGTTTCCAAAGTATCTTCAGTAACATATTCAGGAAAAATAATTCACTTTTCATCATAACATTAAGAATATTTTTTAGATTACAATAAAACCTGGATTTGCCAGCACTAAGGGGTCTGAATACTCTTACATTCAGAACATGGAAAGGGAGCTCAGTAATCACTAAAACAATACTCAAAGAGCAGGAACCATGGAGAGGAGCCAAAACAGTCTCCAGTTACAGAGCTGCAAAAAAATAAATAAATAAAATAAAAAAAAGAAAGAAAGAAAAAAAGTGTCCGTATCCAGGGAAACCATGAAAGAACCCTGTCCCTCCATGGAGATGGCAGACACTAATGTCAGATATCACAGTATCCTCCATAGTGAGGACAAACGGGAGAGAAACCAATGGGTGGAACTGCAGCATGCAAAGATGGTAAGAAAACAACACAGTAAATATTCCTGAAAAGTCAAAGAACACTGAGACAGTGAAGGAGACAGGAGGGCAAGAAACCAACATGGAAGAAGGCAGGTATTACCTTTACATTTTCAATATATCTTACATAAAGGTATGTTAGCTTGCTCCAGAGATGAGGATGCTATGCATGCATGCCATAATCCAGCTTTTAGGAGGAAGCAATCAGTGATGAAAAAGAGAACCTGAGAGATCTGCTCAGAAAGGCAGATGCCAGCCTCCTAGTGAATATGAACTCAGTGCAAAGCCACCTGACAACAGAATAGTAAAGGGCTCACTAAGCATTACCCATGTGCTGCACACTTAGCTGTTCTATGCATATTACAGTGATACCTTTTGATTGATCTTGTTCACTGCAGTCATATATGCTAAATAGTATGCCAGTATAACAATCATCTCATTTCACAGAGGAGAGAAAGAAGACACAGAAAGAGTAAGTTACTTGCACAGGATCACGTATCTAGTAAGTTCAACAGAAGGCAGACAAAATAACTATTAATTATCACTTGGTTTCCTCATATTTAGACTATGATTAGTATACCATTTACTAAAGAAGGAAGACATCATATATTTTTCTAAGATAGTTAAAATGAAAAACCTCAAAGGTTAGCCATCAATCATACAGAAAATTTTGTTAACTAGAATATCATTCCCTACCATTAAAGACAACCAAGATATGAGGAACTTAAATTTAGACCTAATCAGAAATGTGATAAAATGTATTCTTTTCCTCTTCTACAGTGATGCAGAATGTACATTTAATATGTGATAAAATTAAAAAGTGTTGCTGGTATTTTTTAATTACAAAAGTAATGCCAAGTAATATTTATATATAAGATGCTCTCACTCAACAGTTCTGCTGATTGGTACTTACCTATGTTTGGTGGGAGTTTTATACCAGTCCATAAAAACTGGTGTCACACCACATAAATCTAAGGTTGACAATGATGCTAGGCACGGCCAATTTTTGCCATACCATGTAACAGTAACTGAGGTGTCGTTTATGGAAAGATCAACATGCTCCATGATATATTCTTTTCCACTTTTTTCTTTCAGTATAATTGCCCAGCCTAAACCAAATATTCTGGAGAGAGAAAAGAAAGATAGCAATGTCTGCCTCACTGAAAAAAAAAATGCTAAAGGCAATTTCACATATCTTCTCCAAAGCATCTAGATCCTTAAAAGCCAAAGTCAAAGTTCTCAGAACATGCCCATTACAATGTTCATTTCAACAACGGTACTCTCTTTAGACTTTTTCTCCTCACCTAACACCTCCTGAACATCCATGATCTTCCAGGTACTGGCAATATATAAATAAGACAAAAGTTCTGCCCAGAAGACACCTTGAACACTCTTACTGTACTAGAGCAGATATGTACGTTACTTCTGCTTTTCATTAAAACTTTAGTCTATTTACTAGTTATCCCTCTGTATCTGCAGGAAATTGGTTCTAGGACCCCCATGATACCAAAATCTGTTGATGTTCAAGTCCCTTATATAAATGGCATAGTATCTGCATATAACCTATACACCTCCTCCTGTATTCTTTAAATCATCTCAAGATTACTTGTAATACCTGATACAACATAAATGTTGTGCAAACTGTTATTATGTATAATGTATTGGTTTTTATTTGTATTCTTTTTTATATTGTTATTATTTCAGGTTCCTCCTCCCCCCCCCCGCCCACCCCCCCCCAAGACTTCTGATCTGCAGTTGGTTGAATCAGCAGATGCAGAAGGCTATGTGGAACAGGAAAATGCTACATACTTTATAGAGACACAAAAATACTAGAGACAGTCCCACACAATCTAAATTGTACATATGTCCTATGTACACAATACTTTGAGCTGATACCATCATTCTCTTTTGGTTATAAACAAACATTTTAGAGTACTGTCAAGTAACCACTGTGTCCGGTGTTCATGAACACACTGCGTACCTGAGGGCCTCTTTGGTCTTAACTGGAAGGCCTGTGTAAGGGTTAACAGGTTTGAGAATGTCGGCTAGTGCAGCTTTTACAGATGCTATTTGTTTTGTGATATATTCTTTCTTCCAATAACCAGCTTCTTTATCCTGAACTGACAGAAAGCTCATAGATATAGCTATCTTCTCTACTGAATTAACTTTCCAATTCGATCTTGTAGATGAAAAAGCAGTTGAGTAGATTCTGATCCAAATAAAACTGGAGGGAAAAGAGGAAATGTGTTAAATAAGAGACATTGTCACCTACCTATAGTTATATCTCAAATTAGAGATGCATAATATTTTCAAATAATCCAATTCCATGAATAGGTCAAGCTGAGTATTTACAGTTGTTCATCTGTTGAAGTGAATTGCAGTTTGAGATTTAGTGTTTTAAATTCAACACCACCAAAAACACATTTAAAAAAAAGGAAAAGCCCATTTCCCAGGGTCGGGTCTCAAGTAAATAATTCTCATGTCATTTAGGATCATCCAAACCACTGCCCTCTTACATCAGTAATGGAATAGGAAATCTATTATTTTAAAAGTAACAAAGTATATGTAGTATGATTCTTGTTTTTAAATATATACGTGCTTTTAAAAAGATCAGAAATGATATATGTATGCACACCAAAAAATTTCAACAGTGAACAACAGAACTGTACATTTTTTTGCTTTTTAATTTCAACAAGGAATATGCTTTCAGAAAGAGCAAAAAAGTGAAGTTTATTAATGGTAACAACTAAACAATAGTCAATATAAGTTTTTTGAGCACTTACTATGTGTTAAGCATTGTTTAAGCAATTTACGTATTATACATTACTCATTTATTCCTCATAAAGAAACCAGGAGGCACTGCTATTCCTGTCGCCAATGCACAGATGTTGTAACTGAGGCTCACGTGAAAAGCAGGCTGGCCGAGGTCTGTGCACTCAAGTTTATATTGAAGCTGGGATCTGAACCAGAGCTCACACTCTTATCACATGAGTTTCACTCTCTCTTCAATCACAAAGAAATGGATCAAAGAAACTGAATAAGCTCCCCAAATTCAGACAGCCATATAATAAGCCTCAATGTGGGAATTCAAACTCAGCTCTGACTCAAAGTCTGTTCCTTCCACTCATCTCTGCTAAGAGGCTGGGAGAAGCCCCACGAGCAGTGGCAGTGAGCTGGCCCAAGGACTCTTCCCTCTCAGCCAGTACTCTCCACCAGGGAAGAGAAGGAAGACACAGGAAAAACTGAGGCAGGGGTTAAAATCAATTCCTTATCTGAAAGGCAAATTTTGCATTTTAAAAATTAATGATTTGCCCATTTATGTCTCCACATTAGTACTCAGAGCAGCATGGAATGAAGCAGTCAATGGCCTGGAGGCTGCAGGGAGAAAGCGATTCCTCCACAGAGCGGTGGTCCTGAACTGCAGCAGGACCCCTGGGGATAAGCCTGGGTGCTCTGGGGAGGCAGAGCTATTTCCTTAACCATAGCAGAAAAGGACCATTTCTCAAACACATGACTTCAGAATGCTACCTCCTTGACTCAGACATTACATGAACTTCCCACCAAACACAAGCTCACATATAGTCAGACCCTGGTTGACATGTCTTTCTAGTGTGAGTTTCTTAAGTCATTTCTCACCCCGTAAAATCACTTCATGCTCAGCTTTTATATTAAAGTGTTTCTGTTTTCAATTCAGAAATTTCTGGACTTTCCTATGCAAGTGGATAGATGCAATACAATAATTAGTTGAGTACCCCTAAGTAAAGTTAAAGCTCTTTCACCAAAATCCTTTAAATAGACATTTTTAAAACTCTCTTTGCATAAAAGCTTGCTTGTGTTTTCTTCAAATTTATTTTACTCAGCAACTCACTCTATGGTAAGTGTCCTTTAGCAGGACCTTTATGGAGCCTCGAATTCCTCACATCAGCACTACCTAAACCACCATTGATACTATTTTTACATGTGCTAGCACTTACAACCTGCAAAAACAAACACTGCCACAGAGAGAGGAATCACAGCATAAATTCCACATGTATTTAGTAACAATAACCACACCTAAATATTCGTATGATGAACTATGCTCATACACAAGATCATATATTATTAACCATAAGTAAACCTAAGTAAAAACATTTTATATTGCAGATGATGCCCCTGATTTATTATAATGCACAAATGTTAAGGTTCAGATGCTTTTCACAGTCTCCAAAACCCAAACACATTTACCTCTTGATCCCCAAATGCTCCATCCTGTTAGAAGGCCTAGGCAGGTTTGAAGACAAGGGCATATTTATCTAATATGACTACCAATCAGGGGCTCAGGGAAACTTCCAACAAGTTGTTCAGAAAATGGGGCCAATGTAATGCTTAGATAAATAGTGTTTCCCAGAGTACATAGCAAATAAAACCCCCTTGCGATAAACCAGATGCCACCGCATCTGGTTATTTCCACGCAGAGGCCAGTGCTCATACAGAAGGGAGCAGCCCCCCATTGCCGGGATGGAGCACTGGGGAGCCCCCTGCCCTTCAAGCCTGTCTTCCAGTAAGTCATCAGTGTAACTCACTACACTATGTGTGCCTGCCCTCTCCTCAGAAGCAACACTTAGAATCTACTGTCAACTTTTCAAAAACACATATCAATTAATCATTCAATTATCACACATCCTTTTATGTAGTTTGACTTCATGATCAGACTTTGGCTTTAAGAGTCAGACTATGACTCTTTAGGTGCTTTAGCTATAACTAAAAAGTAGAATTCAACTTAGCACAATTTAGATAAGTCCTTCAAAAAACAAAAGAAATGTGAGTGCAATTTCATCAGAAACTCCTGTTTCCCAATGACAACTTCCAAGAAAGTGAGGAGGGCACATAAGTAATCTAATGCGAAAAGCAGCACTAGAACCATGCTCCACATCCAATTAAGGGCCCAGTTTCTTCATCATGCAGGTGAAATGGAGAGGGGAGACAGTAAAGAAACTAAGAAATATATAATTTATCAGCTTATCTGAAGTCTGAGTTCTATCCATAAATAAAGTAAGAACCCTCCAGAATGCTACAGTTTTAGACATTCAGTTGATTCCTTCCTTGAAAAATGCCTTGCTGTGCTTTCTTTTAGTGACCACCTTCATCTCTTTTTAGATCATTGTTTGAGTCTGTTTGTGTTGCTGCAAAGAAATACTTGAAGCTGGGTAATCTGTAAAGGAAAAGTTTATTTGGCTCATAGTTCTGCAGGCTGTACAAGGAGCACTACGCCAGCATCTGCTTCTGGCGAAGCCTCAGGAAGCTTCCAACTATGGCAGAAGACCAAGGGAAGCCAACTGTGCAGAGATTACAAGGCAGAGAGAGACAGAAAGAGAAGAGAGCAAGCAGGAGAAGGGAGGGAGGCCTGCCATACTCTTTTAAAACAACCAGCTCTAAAGCAACAACTACAAGGAAGGCACTAAGTCATTCAGGAGAGATCTGCTCTGGTGACCCAAAGACCTCCCAGAGACCCCACTTCCAACACTGGGGATCAAATTTCAACATGAGGCTTGGGGAAACAAATCCCAACTATGTAAATACAGCAATCACTGAGAAAGAGAAACATAAAAATTGCTCTAATTCATTTTATACTGTCAAGAAAATGATTATTTCACTCATTGATGTGTGTGTGTGTGTGTGTGCATGTATTGACACAGACAGACACATATTCTTCCATACGGGAAACATCTCCTTAAATTAAAAGAAAAATCACCCTTTCCAACCAGGGAATAGTATATGTCCTCTTGAGAGCATGAGAATGGTTGAGGACAGTTTTAATAAGATCTGAGGGCTTATTCTGAGTTCCTCACTTAAGAGGCATACACCTAACATTAAAGACAGACGAGATGAGTCATTTCAGAACTTGACTATTTGCTAGCATGACCTGGAGAATCTTTAAAATGCAGATTTCAGAGCACTAAATTGTAACCTCTAAAAATACCAACTAGGGATGTAAATTTTTTAAACTTTCCCAGGTGGTTCATATGTAGTCTTCTTAGGATGGCATTTGAGAACCACTGCACCAAATGACATTCTTGCCCACTATGTTCCAGGGTTAACTAATACAACAGCCCTCCTTCGGCCATTCTCCATCTCCTTGCCTAGTAAACAAACCCACCAGCTAAAATCTGCATTCCCTCTCATCTTGCTGATTTTCCCAGCTGACATGTAGGTTCTATGTGGGAATGATACTTGTCTGATCTTTTGAAGCTAAATGAGAGAGGGGCCTAAAAAGCCAAGATGTTCTGTTATAGGCCACAAAATCCTCACTGAAAATCAGGAGGATTCCACCATCTCTCCCTCCAAGATATAATTCTGAGATGCAGACTACAATTATAGTGACAAACAGAAGGAGGGGTTTGTTCCCCTTTGTTCCTAGACACCCCTGCAAGCGCAGGTGAGCACAGGTGAAACCCTCTCTTCTGGCTCCCTGCTTCCAAGGATACAGCCTCCAGGAGAGGACAGTCTTGGCTTCTCTCTGTCCATTTCACTTTCCCCACAGAGTAAGTTAACCTGATTGGCATGTTTGGGAGGAGGAGCTAAATACACCTAACTTAGCCTCTTCCTTTTCTTTCTTTAGAATCTACTTGGCCATCAGCAGAGGGCACTCATTCTACTCTGCAAACAGAGGGCCAGGGTCAAAGCCAGCAGGTCCCTGTACGTGCTGCTTGAGACTCTGTGATTAGAGCTAATCCTGGGGGGAACACAGCCAAGTCCTCCTGGCAACAGGCCTGAAGCCACATTCTCCAACAGCTACAGCAATGACAAGTTTGATCTTTTTGGTCCATGCAGAGTACATCCCTTTAAAAGCATATAAATGCAAATATTTGAAAATTTCATAGTAAAGCATTCAATATTTTCACTTGTGTGTAAAAATACGCTTGAATTCTCTTAAATTTTTTAAAATGGTTAAAAAGTTCCTATTAGTTTTCCTGACTTCCATCAAACTGTCATCAAAACATAACAGAGACCTGGATTTCTGCTTACTTGTCATTGGCTAGATGATAAAAGCGCCTGCTCACACATCCAGTACACAGCAGGCTCACAGCATCCAAGTAGGAAAATATCTTCAGCAAGATTTCTGAAGGCATTCTGCAAAAAGGGAAAAAATAAATAAATCACCAGAGTGGACCAGGGCTTAATCTACAGATCACCCAGAAAATAACTGGCTGCTCATCTGCAAAAAGGCCATAAACAGACCACTCCTGTACAAGAGGCAAACTGTACCCTCATCTTCAATTATTTTCTTTATTGAAATTTTCTGGTTATTCTAATTCTCATGACATAAACCATAAATAGAGCCAAGGGGTGGAAGAGCTAACTTCCTCAGCATTTTAAACATGTTCACACACTGTGAATCAACAGGCAGGATTTCAGTGTGCCCCATGAAACTACGTATTTATTATTATTATTTTTGCACAGAAAGAGTCTTCCTCTGTTACTCAGGCTAGAATGAAGTGGCATGATCAGGGCTCACTGTAGCCTAGAACTCCTAGGTTCAAGCCATTCTCCCGCCTCAGCCTCCACAGCAGCTGGGACTACAGGAGCATGCCCGCTTGGCTCATTTTTTGTGGTGTTTCACCATGTTGCCCGCCAAAACTGGCCTAAACTACACGTTTCTTTATTGAGATAAAAAGACAATCAGAGAACATATTCTTAGCTATTAATAAGAAAAACACAAAATCCCTTTCCCTAAAAAAGTAAGTAAAATGGGAAATATCAGCTAATTCGCATCTCACCCACACCAAATCCAGGTACCACTTTCTGAACACCCTCAGGCTTTTGACTGCTTCCTCTGGGGCTTCAATGAGACACTAAGGGCCATAAATTTTTCTGAAGTGTCTGTTTCATTTATATGTCTAAATATGATATTGAGACGTGGTCTCAATATTCCACCTATTTCTATGATCTCAGAATTCTACAAAACACAGTAAGAATCTGAAAGTGACTAGGAAGTATCACTAGTGTCAAGAAGTCAGGAGTGGGCCTATATAAATCTTCAGCAAAAGGATAAGTAACAAGAGAGCTATCACAGATTGTATCAAGTGCTGGGGGGAGGGGGGAGTTCTAGGGAACTCCCCCCTCCAATTTAAAAGGGCTTGCCCATACTCTCTACTCGTGATTGTTATGATTTTAAATTTGTTTATTTTTCAAGAGAATCAGGTTACTGCGTGTTTCATAGGAAAATAATCAGTCCAAAAATTTTGATAGTACTGAGAAGAAATAAAGTAGATCCTCAGGAAAAAGACAGTTAACGCCATGCCTATTGGATATGTATCACCATGTAAGTGTCCCCACCACTTAAAGCTCTAGCTATAGTTAGCCAGAGACTTTCTGAGAGTTTAAACAAAAGCTTTGTTTAAGCATTAATTAAATCAATCCCCCAAATAAAACCCCTCCCATTCAGAGCCAATAAATTAGATACTTTCAATGAGAAAAAGTCTCTAATGGTAGAGACACCAAAGTTGCAAGAAAACATACTTTTGTGACCATTTGGATTATTCGTTACATATAATTTTTATGTTTTAACTATTTCACAAAACTTCATATCCATAATTTTTTAAATCAGTACAATTAAAAAAAAAGGAGCTGGGCTTAAAGACATTTGAAAAAGTATCACAAAACCACCAGAATTATTTAACTGGAATAAAATCCCATTCAAGACAGACATTCAGCAGGTTTTTACCTTCCTCCCCGCTGGACATACTTAATGAAAAAGGGGTTCTCACTGTGTCCTTCTAGCAAAAGGAGAAAATCTCTACTTTATAGTTAAGACAGTGGGGACTGACTACGTTCTTAATCATTGTTCACACAATTTCTTCTAACCAAGTACAATCAATGTTTATACCCACGTTGGATTACTTTCTGTTGGATTCCAGTTATTTCAGGTTGTGTGGGGTAAGGAGACAGGACGACAGGCACAGAAGGGAAAGAGGGAGGTGAGAGGCAGGACCATTAAAGAAGTTTAAAATGTTTAACAAAGAAAATGCTTTAAACCAATGAGCATCCCTAAGAATGTTAACTTGTATGTATTCATTTTCAGTATCGTGGGAATTCAAATGTAAACATGTCATTGTCCCTGCCTCATATTGTGAATCTATCCCAATATTCCTGCTTTTCTCACTTTCTTCCCCCTGTTCTAATGGAGTATGCTCACTTCCTCCTATCAAAGCACCTGTGCTCTAGGTACCCACAGATTCTGCACAAAAACCTCAGCCTCCAGTTCCTGCCTCCTTCTTCCACACTGTTAATATTGTGACATGGTAAAAGCCCCATAAAACTGCATACCTTAACCATACCTCAGCTTTCTATTGAAACTGCTCTCTGTAACCCAAATGTGACAGGCAAGCAGTCCAAACCCATGCCATCTTGGCCCCTGCAACTTGTAATAAGTAATTAAGGACTGTAATTTCCACCCTACCCAGACAATGTATAAACAAATGCTAATCTTGACTTTTGTGAACCACTTAAGTAACAATCAGAATGTCCAAAATCCCCTGGCCCTCAGATGTCTGGAGCTCCTCACCCTCATCTTCACCCAAGAATCCACTGGAATGTCCCGGGCCCCTCACCTTCATCTCTGCCCAGGAGGTGATTTTCAGAATCCACTAGCCCTCAGAACGTCTGAAGCCCGTCACTCCCACCCCTGCCCCTCACCCTCACTCCCGAGGTGGTTTTTACAGGTATAAAAGGTCTTGACACCCTCCTTTCAGGGCCAAGGGTTGGAGAGACGCGAGTCCTCCGTGGCCACCGGCAATAAAAACCCTGCAATTTGGCATACTTTTGTCTTGGTGTTAGCTTTCTATGCTCAGGCCAGTACAACAATATCAGCCTCTGAATCACCCCAAATCTCTCATCCTGAAACCATACTCTTCCTTTGTTTCTCCCCAACCCAATCTCTCTGGAGCCACCACCTGACTTCTAGGTTCCCTCACATTGCCAAGCTCTGGGAAAGAACAAAAGAAAACAAATACTTGTCTACACCTGCTGCCTCCAACTCCCTTCCCCTACTTTTTTGCTTCTTACATTTCAGTGTGGAATAGAACACATGCAAATATGAAAATAAGTGGTCAGCCCCTTCCTTTGTATTCACCTGCAATACTCCGAGGGTCCACCACACCCTGCTGCCTCCTCCCCTCGACTCCCCAGGCCGCAGGTCACTGACTGCTCTTGTGTCTCACACTCTCTCCTCTTCTGCTTCACATAACACCCTCGCCTCAATTTCTTGGACCTCAGGGCTCTTCCCTGCCTGCTTGGTTGGTTCTCACTGCCCCAGGTCCTCCAAGCTAGCTCCTGAGTTGTCTTTGCCTTCTTTTCCCCACCCTCTCCCTAGGCCACCTTACCCAGCTCTATGACCGCCTACCCCACCAGGTCTCATCCTGAGCCAGACTGACACATCCATCATCCATCTGGCATCCTCCTTTGCACACACGCCAGATCCTCAGCTGTAACGAGTCTAAAGTCACCACTGTGACCCTCTCTTCTGCCCGGACCCACCTCCCTTCCATTTCAGTCTACAGCACCTCAACCTGTACTACTGCTTCAGTCAACAGCTTCGGATTCCTACTTGTCTGTTTCCCCCTCACACCTACATCTAATTCATAAACAAATCATGTTGGTTACGTCTCCAAACATACCTCCCACTTGCCTATGTCTCTCCGTCTTCCCTACTTCTAGAGAAGAGAGACAGGTAAACAAGTAAACAAGATAATCTAAGAAATTACATGACATCCACACTACTTCCCAGAGCCTGGTAGCCCCAGGTGATGTGCTCCCCCACCACCACCCTGTTCCTGCAGCATCTGGATCCTCCACCTCCATAACTCTGGTGTCCACTCACTGGCAAGCTCTTCTCAAAGCTCTTGAATCTCAGTGTTCAGTTCTCATCTTAAATGTCCCTCCTTAGGTAAGTCTTTCTTACCATGCCACCCCATTATTCTGGATTTGAGGATCCACTTGTTTTCTTGACAACAGATAACCCAACTTATTATGATTTGCTGTATTTTAAATCTGCCTCCTCGACTAGATCATCAGCGTCATGAGAACATGTAAGTGGCTCACCATTTGTGTCCCAGCACCAAGTACAGTATCTGCTACAGAGTAGATCCTCAAATATTTAATGGATGGACAAACCAAATGAATATTTGCTCTGTTTCTCATATCAGATGACTGTAAGACAGCCTATTCCCAGAGCATTGGGTTTTAAGCTGAAATTAATGTCCTTAATTAAATATCTTTTTTGGCTTTTCTTTTTTAAAATACATGGAAACGTATATATAAATATGTACACTGTTAGCTGAGCTAGCTATAATACATTATTAAAAGCCCGGAACTTGAAATCAAGCAACTTATGTCTGAATCACACAGTTCTGCAATATGCAGACTACGTGGGCCTAGCTTCCTACAGTGTAAAATGTCTCTCTGTGATCATCTCAAGCTTTCAGGCTCCCCACAAGGCTTAGCATATAACTGGTGTTCCATAAACATTACTACAGAACAAATCTATGGACTTCTAAGCATCAATTACACATAAAAATTTTTTAAAGCTTCCATGGATCTTCGTGCTGAGAAGCACAGTACAGAATCTTGCCATGGCAAATGGGCTCCCAGATATTGAAGGCTGAGAAATGAACAGAGCTCTTGAGCTTTCAGGAAAACACACTTTAATCTTCTTTTTCCTTTGTCAAGGGTCTTTATCAACTCAAAAGTGAATAATTTTGAAGAACATTTTAACAAAAGGAAAATTCAATTTACTTGTCACTTTTTGAAGTTTCGTTTCATAAAGCTCATTTCATAAGGATAGTGGTGACAGGCCCATGACTCATCAAACACTCCATCCTGTACTGCCTTCCTACACAATCCTATTCTTAGCAAGCTCAAAATAGCAACTTGGTATATACAGCATCATAACTTTCTCTAATAACCCCATGCCTAGAGGCCCCCAAAAATGACAGTCTGCTTCTGCTACTTACCTATCCAGGAGCCCAGAATAGCAAGAGAAAGAGCTCTCCCAGTGCTGCCCATCTCTGCCATGGCACCTCAGGGCAGCAGAGCCTGCAGAAAACTTGACCCCTGGCCCCTTTCTGAAAGTAAATATGGGAAATTCAAATTATATAATTATCAAATGATATGAATTATCTATTCCCTTCTACAAAATTCTAAAGGATTCATAAGCTCCAAAGATTATTCACTGAAAAACTTTAGGAAAGATGAAAAGGAAGGAAGAAAGGGAGGGAGAAGGAAGAGACAATGAAAACTTTAGTGTCCTGGTAAGGAAACCTGAAGACTGTACTTACTCTGATGTGCTTTCACCCTAAGGTTTAGAAATATACACTCTCATTAAAGGTTTCAATATGTCAAAGAGGTGATATCAAATACATTTAATGGAACAAAAATGATAAATTTAATGTATTGATTGGCCAATTTGGATATAACAGAAACCATTAAAGATTATTTTTAAAAACTTAAAATTAGTGAACTTGAACTGTCAACATAATCTACAACTTTCCTGATCGTTAAGCGTTCAAACTCTAGCTTTTGCAGTCATAGGCAAACTACCAAATACTCATCCACAAACTTTTTTACATTTTAACTTCTCCCATTCAATGCAATATATTTTCATTGGCCATCTTTTTATTTTAGTGTTACAGAAAATAGGAGTGCATTTTAGAATCAATGGTTTTTTAGATTCAATGAAATTGCATAAAACATTTTAATGCAGTGAGTCTTTTTCAGAGGTTTCTACAATAAACTTTATTAAAATCAGTCCTCAAAATCAGGAGTACTCAACAGCCCCTTAAGGGAACCAAAACACCAGAAATAACACAGCTCACAGCCTCCATGTCTAGGCAGCAGCCCACCCAGAAAGCCATGAGTGGTTATACTGTTTCTCTAGGAAACGCTTGGAAGCTTCTGCTTTAAGCAACATACAACACACAGGTATTGGTTACTGACCCACCTCCTACCCGGTATGCTATTTAAGAAGTGGCTAAAACCTAGAGACTACATTATCTATACACTAAGTTCACCAACACCATTGCATTGAATGTGTATTTTGTGCACTGATAGTTTAACCACCCTCAGTTTTTCATACCAAGCCAATTCCCCAGATATATTTGAAAGAACACTCATACATGAAGGCAACAACTGGGAGCAAAAAACAGGTGTCCTAAGAACTTGGAAGGAAGGGTAATTAACCAACCCCCGGAAAGCTGGAGTACGAACTCCGCACAACCAGTCTTAACAGAGCATAGCCCTCAACTCTGAGAACAACCTATTAGATGCCACAAGCAGTGAAAAGGAGCCCTTCCCCTGGGCCTCAGCTGGCCAGGTGACAGTGTAGCCTGGAGCCTACCTCAAGATGTCATCAAGATATGCATATGTCAGTAGGCACTCAAATCACCCACTGGCACCTGCCTGCCCTGTTCAACAGGCACAATTCCCCACATGCTTCTGAGAAGCCACAGATGAAATCTTGGTAGATTTTTCTCTTTAGAAAAAAGCACAGTAGCTGGAACAGGGTAGGACCTCCATAAATATTAGTGATCATCTGCCTCACTGGCATCTCAACAAAGAAGAAGTTGCATAAGGTAAACTTTCCAGATCCTGGAGAGTAAAAAGGAAAAAATAGGGGAAAAAATGCTGAGAAAAAAAAGCACTAAGGAAAAAAATGCTGCCTCCATATGCCTTTCTATCCCAGCCTCAGTGAAAGGTGCTCAATGTACTTTTGGTCTTACATGACTTTCTAGCCAATGGTTTTCAATCTGTGCTCTGCAGGGCAGGAAGACATGGAGAAAGGACAGGTAGAAATGCTAATTTAGAAATTTTTTTTTTTTTTTTTTTTTAGACGGAGTTTCACTCTTGTTACCCAGGCTGGAGTGCAATGGCACGATCTCGGCTCACCGCAACCTCCGCCTCCTGGGTTCAGGCAATTCTCCTGCCTCAGCCTCCTGAGTAGCTGGGATTACAGGCACGTGCCACCATGCCCAGCTAATTTTTTGTATTTTTAGTAGAGACGGGGTTTCACCATGTTGACCAGGATGGTCTCGATCTCTTGACCTCGTGATCCACCCGCCTCGGCCTCCCAAAGTGCTGGGATTACAGTCTTGAGCCACCGTGCCCGGCCTAATTTAGAAATTTTAGCCTCTCGTCCTTTAATCAGATAATTCCACCTGTGTAATATATTTTGTATTTCTGTTGGAAATTTTGTTTAAACAGATTTCCACAGGAGAAAAGCTTAGACTCCATTGATGTGGTTCTAATATAGTAATTGGAAGTAAAATATAATTTCCTAATTGCATTCATTTCTAGGACTGCCTTCACAAACTGGGTGACTCAGAACAGAAATTTATTGTTTCAAGTCTTAGAAGCCAGATGTCCAAACTCAAGTTGTCAACAGGGCTATGCTCTCTCTGAAGGCTCTAGGGAGAATCATTCCTCCTTCTGGTAGTTGCCAGAAATCTTTGATGTCTCTTAGTTTTTTGTATCAGCATAACTAATCTCTGCTTCCATTTTCCCAGAGCAAACTTCCCTCTGGGCATATCGGTCTCTGTGCCTCTTCTTATAAGGATATCATTCATATTACATTTAGGACCCAACCTCATCCAGTATAAGCTCATCTTAACTAATTATAACTGCAGAGACCCTATATCCAAATAAAGTTACATCCTGAGGTTCCAGGTGGACATAAATAACTTTAGAAGATATTATAAACTTTGCTTACTATCATTAGTCAACACAGTAAACAAAATTTGTAATACATTCTAAAATTATTTAAAAGCGTGACTTATTTTTAAATGGTTATTATTTTAAAGTCTATATTGACTTATGGTACATATTCAAAGATAAAATGTCTATAATTGACAAAGGTTTCTAACACTTAAGCTTCAAGTAAAGGGAATTTCTATTATTCCTCAGTCAAATAATAATTCCTATCAGGAGCTCCAAATCTGTAACCCTTAAGCCCATGAGAGTATGAAGAGTTGGTTGTGCCTAGAAGTCTGAGTCTATACATACCCTAAGCATTATATGAATAATTATATATATATAAACATAAATATTAATCAAATATAAATGTATTTAAGATATTAAATACCTTACTGAATCAGTAACAGCTTTTAGTCATTATATATTTCCTCAATAAGATGCCAGAAAGATAAAAACTGTTACCCTATGCCTTTCCAAGAAAACCAAAGAAAAGTAAATTAATCAGATGGATCAATTTTAATCTAGCAATTGGCAAAGACCAAATAAATGATAATGATTCATGCTGGCTATGTTACAAAGAAACAGGCATCCTCATTTACTGCCAGTAGGACAAGATACAGTGGTACAACAAAAACATCGTGGAAAGCCAAATCTGATATTAGAAACCAGGATCCTTAAAAAGCACATATGCTCTTTTAAGCCAGAAATTCCACTTCTAGAAATGTGCAGATAGTTCACTCAAGAATGTCCATCTCAGAGTTGTCTGCACTGGGGAAAAAAACACTAAAAACAGTATAGTGATTGGTTAAATTGCAAGGTCTCCATAGAGTTAACAATCCTTAGTCAATTAAAATTTACATTTTCAACCAAAGTAAAGTGCTTGAATTAGAAATAGATCCCTGATGTCCTCCAGATGTATATATGGCTTGCTCCCTCACTTTCTTCAGCCATTTACAATGTCACCATCTGACTAAGACTTTCCTTGGCTATTCTATTTAAACTGCAAACCAGTCCCCAACCTAACCCCTGCCACGCACACAAACACTTTGTGTCCTTTCTCTGTTTCTCTCCTTAGCACACATCACCAACCAACACTATGTATACATTTTTCCTGTCTTGCTTACTATCGCTGGAACGACATGGGCAAGTATACTGCATGGGTTTGTTCACTGCTGATTATTCAGCACCCACAATATGCCTGGCATATGAGCAACATTCAATAAATATCTCCTGAATCACTAACAGTATAACTGAGAAAGCAAGTTGTATCAGTATATACTATTAGGTTGGTGCAAAAGTAATTGCAGTTTTTGTCCACTACGTAAACTTATTTTTGTATTTCTCTAAGAGGAAAAGTAAATACATGCATATAAAGACAAGAGGTCTAGAATGAGAAACCAAGGTTTAACAGTTAATAGATCTGATTCATAGGATTACAAAATTTGCCAGTGAAGGTTTTTTTAAATGGGGAGGATTTAAGGGGCAAAACTCCACGTATTTTATAATTTTTCTTAGCATATTGAATCTGTAATAAGTTTGGGGGGGGTGTTGTTTTAATTTCAAAACTGAGTCACAAGTACAAGAAGGCCAGGGAATCACAGTTTGAAAGCACAACCCTTGAGACTGGAGCAGTGACTCTCAAAGGCATTCCTAGTAACAGTACCCCTGCAAAGAAACTGAAACCAGGTTTCCCGAAATCTGGAAGTACAGTCTGCAGCAAACTCAAAACTTCTTAGAAGTCTCTCAGTTGATCTTAAAAATTAAAGCAAATATTGCATTCTACTAATTTGTCTTTGTCTTATCATAAAAATGTATATTACTTACCAGTTAAATTATTTAACCTTTTCCCCAAAGCTTTTGTGTTGATTTTGCAGACAAGGAAGATGCTCTGTGTATGCCCTGCCCACTACAACTACAAGTTTGAGAAGCACAGTGCTTAGATGTTTCAAGAATACATACTGGCTCAATCTGCCAACAAGTTCTTACTGAAAAACTTAACTTGTATGTCCCAAATTTATGAAAGATTACTGTGAAAATGTCAATAAAGTCACCTGTTTTGTAAATATATATGTAAAATATATGTAAATAAAATAATCTTAGTAAGTTCCTCAAAGTGGTACTGTAACTCTCCCCACTCAAAGATAGTTTTAAATAATGATTAAGCAAGTAAATCCTGTTTGGTACTAGTTACTATTTTTAAGTACCAAATGCTTTTCCCTAATCTGAATCCCTAATTCAGTAACAAATGGATATGACTCTATCTTTGACTAAAATATTTAACAGGGCTTAGTTAGTTCAATTCTACAAATACTTCTTAATCATATACTCTGTACAAGGTAATATGTAAGTGTTTTAATGGAATATGAAGACTATTCTATTACAAACATGTTTTCACACTTTTTAAACTTCAAAGCTTATTTCTTGCTGTTTTGCTTTTTCACAATTGAAATGGATCTCATAGAGTCCTTCATTTCAGTTTAGAAGACTAAGGCTCTAACAAGGCAACTAAAGGGACTTAAGGTCCCAAGCTAGAAGCAAAGACAGTCTCTGAGACCCCCATCTCCTTAAGGTCCTAAATCAGAGCTCTCTTTACCATACTTTGTATAAAATCATACAACTCATGTATGTACCTGTTAACACTATTGAAAACACATCTCTATTCCTCCATAAAATAAACCAACTGCACATTTTTAAGGGCCATATAATTAACAAATCAGCAAGTTCCATTTATGTTTTTATGCAGATCTATATGTCTACAAGGTTAAGTATAGACACACACTGATATATTTAGTAAGATAAATTTAGTTTGAAAACACGTCAAGTGACAGGCTTTTGTCTGATAGTTTTGAGTAAGTCCAATATTTTAAAAACCTAGTGACTGTGCTTCATTTTCAATATATGGCAAATCAAATAAATTACACCAGGTATAAATAAACCCAACTTAATATGCTTTCCACTACACTTCTTACAATTTGTGATATACATATTCACATTTTGTGTTAAAAAGGGAACGCTGATTCCTTAACGTCTAATTTTCCACAGCGAGACATTAAAATAACCACCTGCCTTGACCATAGTAAATCATTCTATTTTTGGCAGCAGACTTTTCTTTACCAAAGATAATGCATACATTTCCAAATCAGCTTGAAATGCAGATTCTCATGCCAGGCATAATGACAGGCCCTCTAATTATATCAATCCACCAGGAAGTTCACTCAATTTACAAAGGATAAAAGATTAATCATATAAAAATCTTTCTGCTTCCCCCTAATAGAGCACTATGTAAAGACTAATTTTAGTAATAGCAGCAAATTGATTAAAAGTTCAAGTTCCCTATTTAAATTCCTTTCTCTCCTACATAAAAGAATTTTTGCAGGCACTGTCACCATTCTATCTGTGACAAGGCTTGTGGTTTGTCTAGCATTATAGGTTTTCAATCAAGAACTATTATCATAGCACTAAGCAACGGGGCTGTGTAAGTGGAAGTAATGGAGCCCTAGGGAGGACACAGGACATAGTTCTGCAGATGCAGGGGGATAAAACAAGTAGTTCAATTAGTATGTAATAGACTGCCTCTGTATGCTTAAACATGGACTGTTGGTTGATTGCAAGGCAAAATGTGCATGACTTTCCACATTTATAAATCGAAGAGGCTTACAAGCACAAAGATAATCCTCCAGAATGTAAACCATTCTTAGCATTATCCCTCCATCTGGTAAACGAACAGCAGTGATGGGTACATAGGTAGGGAACAGCTCACGATACAAGGAGAGGGATTTCATAAGATACCATTATGCATGCTGATATTTCTGACGCACTGGATCATTTTACTTCTTCACGCTGAAGATGCTTCTGGAAAGCAGAGGCAGCCTCCTGCTCCTTTTCTATTTAAGTCCTCAAAATTGCGTTCTCTCTCACTATAGGAGAGGACCACGCTTCAGTTCCAGAGACGAGCCTCTAGGTAGCAGAACGAGAACACCACAGGCTGCTGCATTTAGACCGAAGACAGGCAGAATGGGACTAGGAGCTGAGCAAGACCTGGCGATGGAGACGGCAACTTGGCCTTGACGTCGGAGGTGCAGAAAGTGCTGTCCCCCCACCCCCCAGACCAAACTGCCTGCCAGAAGTAACTGCTTGGGGGATGAGGGTGTACACTGGTAAGGTTTTCCTGAGCGGATTCTACTTCTCTAAGTTGTACGGCCACAAGAAAGACGAAGGGAGATTCTCGGTTACAGAAGAGCGAAAATACGAAGGCAGGGGTGGAGCACCGTGAATTTAGGGCAGGCGTCCTGGAGATGCGACCTTTTGGCACCTGCACCTGTCCTGGCAGGTGAGCGCCTCCCCGCGCAGGCGCCGCGAGAAAAAAATATCTCCCTGAGAGGCTACTGTACTCGTGTCATAATTTAGGGTAGAAAGGATTTCCTCTGGTCGTTCTTCCAATCCCTTCTCTCGTTGAAGGGAGCCTCGGGCCTTGTGCCCAGAGCCTGACGAATAAGATACAGTGAAAAGACCAGGGACGCGCAATGAGGAGCTTCCCGCCGGCTGACTCCACCCGCAGGCCCTACAGTCACCTGAACCCAAAGACCCTGGAGCGCCCCGGGACCTGCCTTGCACGCCCCTGGGCCGCGCCACCGCCCTTGCTGGGCTCGCGCAGCGTCTGGAGGCCCAGCCAGCGCTGCTGCAACATCCGACCGCGTCCAGTCGCCATGGAGACCAGGCGTTCACCACAGGACTGCGCGGGGGCGGAAACGAGGAGCGCTTGCTCGCAGACAAGCCCCACATCGCCACACCCCTCCACGCATGCGCGAGTGGGGAACTGTACAGCTGGCCTAGCGCGTGCGCAGACAGCACCCGCGCCAGACGGCTCACAGAGCGGACTTCTAGAAATTTCCGGGCTTGGCTTCTTTACCCACCCTTAACATTCTGCCACCAGGGGCGCCAAGCAAGTCCGCGGCTTATCGTTTAGGAAACCGCTGCCTGATTTGCAGTGGCCTCCCTTCAGCTCTGCTTGCTGGCTCTTTACTGTCCGGTTTTTCTGAAAACAGTGAAACGCAAAACCTAAATCATTTGCGCACGCGGAATAGCAAGGCCACAGTCAAAGGGAGCATTTCCCAGTATGTGGAGTCCTCTCTAGAAGGATCAGAAGAACACGTAGTTTTCAACTAACTTGGCTTTTGCAACTCCCGCTTGAACCCCTCAGGGTCTGAAGTACCGATTGTGCCACAAACGCCCCACTTTCCCGCCGCTCCAAGGACGTACAGCGTCTGCGCAGGCGCCAGGCGCGGGGAGAGTCTGAGGGCGGGCGCCGTGCTGCGGCAGCGTTGAATTGTGGGAGATGTAGTCTCTTTTGCGCGGCCCACTGTCCCATCCCAGTTAAGAGCAGGGTCTTTAAACTACTATTCCCAGAAAGACGGGGGAGTTTCCCAGGTGACTTTGCGAAGGCATGGCAGGGATCCTGTGAATGTCAGCCCAGAAGGTAATCAGAGTATTTTAATTCAAATAGAATGAAGACAGAAGGGAAGGTGGACATCAGGTTCACTGTGGAGACTTTTCGTTTTTATTTACGCTGCTGAAGCTAACGTTTTTGCCTAACACCCCATTTAAGTAAACGTATAGGCTGGAATAGGAGCCCGGCCGGATGTGAGGTGAACCCTAAAGCTTTCCTAATTGTAGTTAGCATCGTCCCTAAGCGGAACGATTTTTGTGAACATGATTTGTACTTTTCTACGTGCCATACAATATACGGAGAAGCTGCACAAGTCCTCGGCAAAGAGATTGCTTTTGCCACACGTTGTGCTTAACAAAGCGTGCTTGAAGACTGAGCCCAGTTTGAGATGGGGGCTTCAATATCAGAAGAAAACAGTGCGACCTAGATGTATCCCTGGAGTCACCCAGAAAGCCATCTGGACTCAGGGGCCGAGCTCCCGAAAAGCAAAGGAGGATAGTAGCAAACAAGTGTCTGTGCACAGGAGTCAGAGAGGGGGAACCGCCGTCTTAACAGCACAAAAAGGTAAAAAAGGAATACTTTAACGATTGGTCTTTCATCAAGACAAGCTCCCCATACCCTTTTACACCAAGTTCACTGCCAAAGGTGAAAAAGCAATTCACATGAGTTTTTAAAAACTGTTTATAATTTAGAACTAGAACATATAGACTTACAGTTTTCTTTACAGATTGAAACTTAGATTTGAAAGTTGATCTTTAATTTAATATAACTTTTTTGCATTATGTCTGGGAAATTTTTGTCAAGTTTTATTGGCTCTGTTACATATAATAAAGAGTAACTGGATAGGATAAAAAGAGAGATCATTGACGCATAACCAGTAGGGAAAACTTTCAGATGTTACCTGCAATAATAGAAAAACATATAGGGAGGATGGAATGTGATTTGTCAGGGAAAGTCAGAGATGTGTTCACAGGTATTTTAAGATTTGTTTTTTAATTTCTTCATTTCACATGTAATTTGTAGGGAAAAAAATAAAAGACAAAGCAATTTAGACCCCCATGGTTATACCACACAAAGATGACTTTTTTTTAACATTTTGCACTTTCATACACATACTTTTTAATAATTTTAACCCAAAAAATTGAATCATATTCCACCAATTGTTTTGTAATCTGCGGCATATGCCAAAAATATAATCTAGTTTTTCATTCATAATAGTTCAGCACAAAGGAACAACCCATATGCAGAGGTGAAAGGCATAGAAACGGGCAGATGTGTCAGGTCATCTGGCTCAGGCAACAGTGCTGCTGCTTGCACTGCACACCAGGCCTCCTTAGAGAGCCCTACTGCACCCCATTCAGAGGCGACAGTACTTGTTACTGAGTGAGTGGATGGGAGCAACATTCCCAAATGTGAAATATGCTGCGTCCAAAATTCAAAGAGGCCTATGAAGCATTGTGTTAGAAGGTATAGGGAGCAACAATTGTCTTTTACTTGCGAGGGCATGTCCTGGCACTCCCCAGTGTAGCCCCACGAGGCCCGCTCATGTGTTGGTGAGCCTCTGGATCTTTGTTGGACCCACCTCTCACTCTTGCAACTTGTCTGACCGAGCCTTCTAACACAATTGACACTTATTACTTAATGGGCTCAAACGTGATGGCATAAACATAGTGGACAAATGTGATATTCTGTTCAATGTCCAGAAGAGGATTATTCAGATAAAACTTTCTGCACTCATAGAAATGTCCTATATCTGTGCTGTACATTTGGTTAGTTCCTGGCCACTTGTAGCTATTTTGAGCACTTGAAATGTTGCTAAATTATGTGATTGAATAACTGAATTAATTTTAATTAATTTAAAATTGAACTGAAATAGCCATTAGTGGCTACTGTATTAGCCCAGGTCTAGAATGACAGAGGGTGAGAGAATTAGCAGATCCTGGGCAGGATCATAGTAACAGGATAATCCTGTTATTATCTGTTTCATGTTACTACAGACTGCTCCTGATGCCGCTTCTCGAGATAGGGAAGAAGGCATTCTTCAAATCAATGGCCAATACCATGAGACTGTGTTAATGCACTCCCCTGTAAAGTTACCATATGTGGTATTGCATGTGTACCCTGGCTATTACTTGGTTGAGTTTGCAGTGAACCACTGTCATCTCCAGCCCGTATTTGTTTTTTTGTAAAGAAAGACTGGTAAATTACAAGGGACTTTACCACCATTGGTGACCACCATGCCTGTATCTAAGATCTCTAAGAATAGCACTGTCTCGGCCATTCCCCATAGATGTGATACTGTTTTTATTTTATTATCTTGGTCACTGGGGCAGTTTTGGAGGCTTCCATTTGACTTTTCCCACTGTGATAGCTCTTAACCCACTTCTAAAAGAACTACTAAAGTAGGAGTTATTGTTGCCAATTACTCAGTACATCCTCTTGATTTATACATTTGGAAATCACAGAAATGATTACCAGATAAGTCCACGGACCCAGCTATCAGCTTCTTACATGCCGAGGCAGGTCGGAGGGTCATCATGACTCTCCAGATCCTTGGACATCACTGTCAGCACAGATTATGTCCAAGTTGATAACTATAGGTCCTTTTGGTGAAGGGCTGGGGGAGTCAGTCACATACACTTTCCTTCAGTAAAGGGGCTCCAGGTCTGAAAACTTGCTCAGGTCCAGGAACTGGGGCAGTGTTCAAGGCTTTGCATTAGAGCGGCTGCCTTCAGCCTCAGGAGTCATCTGTAGTTAATATCTAATGACTGTGTAATTTAGAAGTAGCCTTGTCCACTACACATCCATCTTGCCCTTGAGAACACCGTGTTCTAGTCATCAACTCTGTTGCTCTGTGCAGGTCAGACACTCTCGACTTGCCATCAGTTACGATGGTTGCACCCAACTTGGCTTCTGCCTAATACCGCAACCTGGTCTCTGTTTCAGAATTCTTTTGCTGTCAGGGCATCCTGCTCTGTAAAGATGTCAGGGCTTCCTTGTGGCTTTGGTGTACAATGTCCTCCAGTTCCTCCTCAGAATATAGTCAGATGGTGGGCTTTCAGGCTTTATATCTTATATCTATGGTAGCATCCCCATTCTTCAAGGCTGTTAAGCCTTTCCTCCCGTTTGCCATGGCTGTTCTGTCACTTTTACTTAATGTGGACCATCACTGTCTCAAAGTTTACGGGAGCAAACCTAGCCAACTGCATATCAGTTCCCAGGGTGCTTGCCCAGCTGCTAAATTCATCACAGGAGTGTGCCTCATGCTGATCAATTCTCACGTAGCCGGGTTTGTGTTCTGTGCCCTTGACACACCCCCCTTAAGAGGTAGTGATATGGTATATATGTTCCCCTGGCTCCCGCTGGTGGGGCCTCCAGCTCCTTCTGTGTATCGTTCCTTCTCACCCTTCTCATGCCCAGTTGTGTTGTAATTTGGCCAGGAGGGGAGGTGGAGAAACCTCTTGAGGGCAGCATGTGTCTTCCTAGGCAGAAGCCACCCACCCACCCCTCGCCCAGTTTCCATGATGGAAGAAGTGCCAACCTTTACCAGACAATGAGCTGCTTAGAGCATTGACCTCAAGGGCCCCCAACGCAGCTTTCCTCCCAAATCAGGACCCTGACCTATGTGTGGGAGGTTCCCTTTCCTCCCAAATCAGGACCCTGACCTAGGTGTGGGAGGTCTCATGGGCTTGAAATGCCAAACTCCCTGCTGCCCTTACGCCACAGACTTGACCCCTGCGTTTTCTGCCCTCTTGGGTGCAGTTCGAGTCTTGTTCTGCTGGGGAAGAGGCCCCTGCCCTTGGTACTCACCTTCATTGGTAATTAGTTATACGTATCATCTCATCCTCTCTCTCCAGAGTATCCATGGCCCCAACCACAGCCCTTTAAGTCCTTAAAATTGCTGATTCCTCCTAAATTCCCAGAAAAACACACCAGCCAGTGCATTCCCTTCCGCCAGTATTCCATCCCAGGTCTCCATCAGCTGCATCAGCTGCACTACAGCTATATGACAGGCGCTGTCAGTGCCCCCCTACCACCGGGGACAGAGTCCTCATTGCTAGCCAGTGGCCAGCTAGCCAGCTCCAAAATCCCAACTGAGAGCTGCTTACCACTCCTGGCAGCAGCCGTTGTAGGTCGGCTTCTCAGGGAAGTGAGATTTGCGTAAGGAGGTTTATCAGGGAGTGCTCTCAGAATGCATCTTGAGGGGTGAGGGAAGCAGAACTGGGCAGAGGGGGAAGCCAAAGTGTATTTGCAGTTGGGGCCTCAGCTACTGTTCTGGGGAGCTCTGGGGCTGAGCTGGCCAGTCACCATCCGTCTACCTAACATGGCGGCTGAGTCTTACACTTCTGCATCAACCAGGCATTGAGCATGGGCTGGCCCAGGAAGTGCCATGACCTAAGTGAGGAAGCTCTCTTATGATGGAATGCCCGGAGAGGAGTTCGGCTGATAACTGCAGCTGGGAACACCCACACCACAACACCTACTACAGGAGGCCTAGAGAACTGCAGAAGCAAAAGGCATGAGGGTTTTTGGCATGAAAGTATTAGATCTGAAAGGGTTGAGAAAGTTAGTGAGCAGCTTCCACTGGAGACAGCTATAAAGTAACAAACAGAAATTTTTTAAATCTGTAGAATATGGAGAATATTCAGCACAGGGCTTTATATGTAACAAATATACAGGAGCTGTTATTTATCCAATAAATGGAGAATACCTATCAGATACCCTAAGCAAGGCAGGAATTAATTGTTGGGAGGAACAGTCAGAAATCCAGGGTGTTGGGGCCAGTGACCTGGTTTGCATAACAAGGACAAATAAGGATACTTACTAGAACTAATTAGTTGTTATCGTGTTCTCAACCTGGGACTTGACACGTAACTGGCAGGTAATATTTATTGAAATGTATTTTGTGACACTGAGAGTAGAATGAGATGTTGTTGTAGGCCCCAACTCCTGAACCTTGGAAGGGAAATTGGATTTGTGACAATTGTTGAGTCAGTCCCATGAATTACACATACTTTGGCAGATGTGATCTTTTTGTTATTTGAATAATATCTTCTAAGTTGGGAATATTGCTGAAAACTTGAAGGATCGTGCTATGCTAAAGACTACTTTTAAACAAGTGTTATATTAGTTAAAGACTTCTTTTAAACAATGTTGTTTTATATAAAAGTAATAGAAGCTTTTTATACAGAAGAGAAAATAACAACTTCTGTTAAAATTTTTTTCTAAAACTTTTTTTCTTAAAAAATTTTTAAAGATTTATATTTCAGAAGTCTGAGTTTCTAATGTGGTGAGTAAATTAGCCTATAAACATAATGCTGGGAGGTGACTCAGTTTCTCAGCATCAGTGTAAAGCATAGTAATAATTGTAATATTAAGGTAGTGTAATTGTAACGTTATATCTCTTTTCATATATATGAAGATACACATAGTAGATACATGGTAGCTGTTGGTGAGTAAATAAACAGAAAGACTCACCTGATATGCTAAGCAAGGCAGGAATGAAATGTTGAGGGGGCCCTGGGGAATCTAGGGTATTGAGACCAATGACCTGATTTGGGTAATAGGGACAAATAAGGGCATAATACAAATACATTTATTTATAGCTATATATACATACATACTCTGCCCCATAACACTGTCTTGATTGAGTTTCTTTAGTTCTCAGACCTTTCGTTTAATCCATATGCACATGTTTTATTAGTGTGGAAAAACAAATGTCTGGTCTGTGCATGTTCTTCATTTTCTAAGTTTAATTCATAAATCTTTCTGGCCAACGAAATTTCTACTCCAAACCCAATTCTGTTTTTATGTACCAGTCAGCGTGTGGGGTGGGACTGGCATTCGAGCTAGTTACTGACTGTTAGGAGTTGACACCCATGTTGGTCCATTCAGTACCTTACCTGTTTGGTTGTCAAAAGCCAGCACTCTTCCTAATCTGGGAGTGGCAGATCTGGGTCCAGTGTTGCCTGACCTATGGCAGTGGTAGACTGGATCACTTGTTAAAAGGATTTCTTCATCCTAGAAATTAAGACAGTGTTAAAATTATAGCGTTAAATTAAAACATAGATTCCCAAGCCCTGCTCTGAGAGTTCTGCAGAGGCAGTAACAGTAACACACAGGGAGTTTTCAAAACGGCTGCCCCGGTACACACGCAGACCCCTTGTTTTGATCTGGAGGCAGCCTTTCTCTCGCAAGAAGCACAGAAGCAGCAAGCAAGCAGGCCTGCTCCCAGCCGCCACGGGTAACCTATTGGTGTTTTCTCTTTACAGTGAAAGAAACCGGAAGAGATTTTTCCTATTTAGTAGTGGTGCTCTTTGGAATCACCATTACAGGTTGCAAAAAAACAGCAAGTATAAATCCTTGAATATCTTTTCAGCTGGTCTTTTTATGTTGCCCTGGCTTTACTCCATCTTTATTTTCTGTGATTTCAGGTGGCTTGTTTTACACAATTTTCAAAGAACTCTTTTCTTCCTCAAGTCCTAGCAAGATATATGGGAGAGCCCTAGACAAATGCAGATCACATCCCGAGGTTAGTTCTCAAGATTCAGCTACATGAACTCTGATGATGGGGAGAAAATGTCTGGGAGGAGGAAATGGGCAGAATTCAAGAACCAGTTCTCATGCTAGTGAAACTCACATAATAATACATAATGCTTGAGTTATCATTACATTATTAGATCTTTGTTCTTTAAGAGAACCCAAAACTCAGTGTACAGATGTTGTCATGCTACTTGTGCAAGAGAGTGATTTTGCTGGTTGTTCGTAAATACTAAATTCTTAGAATACACCAAAATATCAAACTCATGATAGTTTCTAGTCTTTTTAAAGCCTGATGCGTGACCTCATGGTCATAGTGTCACTGCTCCTTACGGAAAACGTGTCCTATGCAAGCACTCTGCACAGGGCCCCAGTGCATCATCTTTATTCAGTCTCACAAAAACCATTTGTGTTCGGTGCTCCTTGATCTTCAGTTTGCAGAAGGAGAGACTGACACTTAAAGAGATAAGTAACTTCACCAGGATCATGGAGCTGGTAAGTTGGAGATCCAGAACCTGAATCCAAGCAAATCCAAGATTTGCTTCCAAATCTGAAGCTGTTAAGCACAGTCTGCCTCCGCCCTTCCCAGGGAAGAGTGAACATGGGGAAGCTGCCTTGGTTCTTTGAAGGACCCTGTCGAGAAGGAAGGCTTTAGATGTGGCTTTCCAGTCACACATAGCCAGTGTGGCCTGGGAAGTGCTGTATTTCTTACTCCCTGATGGAAAGCTTTAGCACTGAAAACATTACTCATTGAAATCCAGCTTCATTCACCTTGAAAGATAACAGCAGATAACTCTCTGCCATTATCATCATAAATATTAGGCTGTTTTTCACACAGACCAAAGAGTAATGTCATCCCTAGCATTTGCAGTCCCTAAAGAGGAGAAAGGTTTGAATCCACAGCATGCTCTCAAAACAGAGCCCAGGGCTGATCTTCCCTGGGGCTCCGGCTCTGACTGTACCACTTTTTCCAATCATGTCAGGGTGGAAACCTCAGAAGCTAACAATCACTGGCATCTTTCTTTTTAAATCCACCGATTTCTCTTAATTGGACCGAGGCAGGGAGGGTGAAGTATTCCAGAGGTGAAAACCAGCAGGAAATAAGGAAGGTTCCTATGATAGTTACTATATCTAACAAGAAACATTCTTTACATGTAAATGTAAATGTAAATGTTTCTGCGGAAATACCTATGGGTGGTAACCTAATTAAATGTTAGAATGCATCTCTGGAAAGAGATGAAGAGTTGCTATGTTATTCACAAACTCATAGATTTTTCAGCATTTTGAACAAAAACCTCCACAGAATATACAACAGTGAGATATTAAAGTCATAACTTAATTTGCTGCCTGAAAAAGCTTTACAAATAATAATTAAACTAACAATTTTGTCAACATTTTTTAATGGGTACCCTTCTCTTTGCCAGGTACTGTGTCTGCTTGAAAAATAGAAAATCCTGATGGTGTTGATATTTGTATGTTAAATAGATTAAAGTGGATTGTTCTACTTGTTTGAGCTATACAGTTCTGAAGTATCATCTTACATGTTACTTCTTTTTCTCCTGGAAAATGTGATACTGAAGATATTCTTCAAACAGACAAAATACGATAAATTTCATAGAAATGAGGGTCAAATTTTTTTAGTTTAGTATCAAATTTATATTTTTTAGAGGGTTCCACAGTATTTGTATTTTGAATTCAATAAAAACTATATTTCCACTTCATGTGGATTTTCTCATTAGAAATAATAGATTCACACCTGTGGCTCTGGTTTATTTTAAATGTCATTATTATCTGTTTTCTTTTTCTTCACTGTGTATGGTGACTGAAAATTTTTTGATCTCATAGTTTTAGTATTAGGTACCATTAATTAATTAAATTTCATTTAAAATGTTCATACATTTTATCTTCAAACCAAAGGGTATTAGTAGAGAAACAGCTGAACCCTGTGTTGTTTTGTTTGTTTTCTGTAAGGGGAGCAGGAGCTGCGTCATTTCTGCCTACATGGTTCTGAAACTATAAGTCACACCATAAAGCTACCTATTTTAATCTTTGGGCATGAAATATTTGTCTAATTTATTTACGGGATGATTTTTGTATAATAACCCTTTTTTTCAGTTTTCTTATTGAGTGGTCATTTTTGAGAAGGTCCTAGGCTTACTGGTTTTTCTTTTTCCTAAAATCATTTGGTTGGTTAGAAATTATTTCCTTAGGAAGCTTTTAACCCACACACACAAAAATAATAAAGCCCTGTCCTTGTTCTGCAGGTGATTGGTGTCTTTGGTGAGCCTATTAAAGGCTATGGGGAGGCGACAAAGCGGGGTCGCAGGCAGCACATCAGGTACCATGGCTTGAATTCAGAGGAAGCTCTGGGGAGATTTTTCAATGAAAGGAACTTAGACTGATCTTTCTTTTTCTCGACAGTTTCGTTGAATATGTAAAAGATGGGCTAGAACACACGCGTGTGAAATTCTACATCGAGGGCTCCGAGCCAGGGAAGCAAGGAACGGTGCATGCAGAAGTGAAAAAGGTGTGGGAATCGTGGGTCATGGGGTCAGAGGTTCTAAGCGCAGTGTTACTTAAGTTCTAGAAAGGAAAATAATACCTGGAAATACTACATTTTTTTCAGAACCCAAAAAGTGGTGAATATGATTTTCGATACATATTTGTAGAAATTGAATCCTATCCTAGAAGAACTATTATCGTTGAAGATAATCGATCCCAAGATGATTAGAAGAATCAAGCAAGCAGGTTACAGATGGATGCTGCGTGGCGTGGACTCACTACTCCAGTCTTCACAGCTCTCTTCCAGAATCTGCTCAAAAGAAAGACAAGAGTGTATGGTTTCTAAAGTGAATCTGATACAGTATTTGTTACATTTAAACAAACTAGACATTTTCTTTTGGAAAAATTATGAAATAGAGCATATTTTATGTTCTCCCATTGAATCAATCATGACAGTATTTCTGCTTTAACACCAACTTTCCTGAGTAGAAATGGTTGTTATTGAGAATTTTACATCATGTAAATAAAGGAAATAGATTTTAGTTTTGTGTTATAGAACTGAATAATGTCTCCAGAATAAAATTAAAACTAACAAATATTTCCTTAGCAGCTGCCCTCCACATACTTTGTAATCTGACTTGAGATAAACGTGAAAATGGCTGATAACCATAGGGAACCAGATGGTAAATACATTCTTCAAAATTGTATAATTTTTAGGAATCTGACTCATATTTCCCCCTTCAGGAATTAAGAGCCTTCTACATAGTGGGAAAAGTACACACTCCCAAGTTGGGTAGACCTGGGCATGCACCTCACCTTTTCTGGCAGGTGTGTGGGCCTGTGCAGATGCTGCAGCCTCATCAGGCCTCCCCGTTGTGTGGTTTGTTAGGATGGCAGTGTGATGAGAGGTGCAAGCCTGGACCATAGAAGGCAGCTGTGACGTGCCCTCATCCCCTTAGAACTTGCGCTGATACTTCTCACTGCCAAAAGAGCGAGGGAGAGAATAAGAGACGTATTCAAATATGTGTGTGAGGCCCCCCTTTAAAAAAAGGCAGGGGGCATTATATTTTATCTGAAGTACTTGCTGGGGATTTGGAAAAATGTGACCTTCACGTACAAGATCCTGATTCCCTATCTGTGTAAGTGCTATGTGCATTGGGAGAGGTCTGGAACCATGTTTATCTGTGACGGCCTCAGTGTGAGGCATCCCCTCTGATGTGTTTGTTCCTTCTCCCTTAGAACTGTCTGTAGAGGATATGTTCTTGAAATTTGGGGATATTCAGGATAGAGGGACCCCCAAGCAATCTGTCTCTTCGGTTTAGTTTATCTCCCTCCTTAATTTAGTCTTATTTTAACTGCTTTAGATGTTTTTAATTTTAATTACAAAAATTTCCAACATTTAGGGAGTATAGAAGATACAGCAGACATTCTTGTCTCCCTGCTGTAACACACTGACTGGGTGAAGCCTTAACTTAGGCTTTCTCTGCTAATCGTTTTTTCCTTTGCTATAGAATATTCAGCATCAGTATTCACTGAAATGTCAGTATATAACAGGCTGAGAAGTTCCGCTTGCTATTCTGAACTGAAAAAAGCAGCCCTGCTCTTCAAAGGAACTGCCCAAACTGTAGCTTGAGGAAGAAGCCCAGCATATGAGCCCAGGTGGGGGTTAGCCACCCTCCGTGGCCCTGTCATTTGGCTTAAGAGCATTTGCTTTTTCTATATTCATTTTTATGTACATCCCATTTTACAATATGTTCATGCCCCTTTAAGATTTGAGCTTTTGGTGGGACGCAGCAGCTGACACCTGTAATCCCAGCACTTTGAGAGGCCAAGGCAGGTGGCTCACTTGAGGTCAGGAGTTCAAGACCCGCCTGGCCAGCATGGTAAAACCCTGTCTACTAAAAATACCAAAAAAAAAAAATTAGCCGGGCATGTTGGCACATACCTGTAATCCCAGCTACTCAGGAGACTGAGACAGGGGAATTGCTTAAACCCAGGAGGCAGAGGTTGCAGTGAGCCGAGATCCTGCCACTGCACTCCAGCCGGGTGATGGAGCAAGACTTCATCTCAAAAAAAAAAAGATCTGAGCTTTTATAATTAGAAGTAAAACGAAATTACTTTTTCAAAAGGAAAAATCTGTACCAATAAGAGATTTTTCTGTATAGCCATAGGAAAATGTGATGTGTAACTCTTTAGATCTTTGTTTTTGTTCCCTCTGATGTACGCTACTAAATGTTAACATTTCTCGCTTTTAAAAACCCTTTTTAATCCACTTTGATTGTGGTGTCTCTGTCCATGGGTTTACTCCCTTTTTCTCTGAAATCTAGGGCACACGTCTGACTGGTATCCCCATCTGTCATATTTGTGAATTTGCAAATGATCTGGTCATTTTCTTAGACGGCCTCTGTCACTCCCCCACACCTGATCAGTGAACTCTTTTTCAGAACTAACTCTAGAGCAGATTCTCCTCTCACTGTTTGCTCTTCGTCCTTAATGAAGAAATTATTTGCATGGCAAGAGTTTATCAGAAGTTCTGCTTTTGGCCCAGTGAGATTTCCAGCCTGACCACCTTGCAGGCTCCATTCATAACTATTGTTGATTGATGCTGTAATACTTTATCCGTTTCCTTCCAGTTGGTAAGCCACTACCATATTACTTGTTTCTCTTACTCTCATCTGAAGACAGTTCCCTAATTCCTAATTCATAGATGTCCACTCAGGGTTACACTTACTATTTATTTTATATAGTACCACTCGTGTTCCATCTTAGATTTCATGCAATATTGATTGAGGGTATGCTATATGTCAGACTATAGTAGGCCAGTGCCACCGAAATACTTGGGGGTGGGGTGTGGAGTGCAGGGGCCATGTGTGTCATGTGACAGGGTTAAGGTTTTACCTGTAGGCACTGAAGAACATCACAGGAATCTGAGTGAGGATTAAGCTGCTGTGTCTGTATTTAGAAGTGGTAGCTGTGTGCAGGATGGCTTGCATTTGGCAGAGGCCAGGTGAAGGTCACTATAATAGTTGAGATGAGAGGATGAAGCTAGAGAGGAGGGGTCCACCTGAGAAGTGTGTGGGGCTGGAGGAAGCACAGGACTTTGTGACCAAGTGCATGTGAGAAGTCACACAGGGAGGAGCCTAGAATAACTCAGGTCTCTGGGTGACTACATTAAAATGCAGGAGAGGAATGGGTTATGAGCAGAAAACAGCAGGGTCTACCTTGAGCTCGAGGTGCATCAGTCAACCAGCTGAAGACCTAGAAGCAACAGGCTTCTCAAGTCTGGCACTCAAGATGCTGTTTGAACTGGAGAAGATTAGGTGTGCCCTGCAGAGAGGAAGTAGCTGGAGCCAAGGGAGCAAGCTCCTCCTGAGAGGAGCACGAGGGCCGGTGGAGGCAAGCTTGCCATGTTGGGGTCATCTGGCCAGCAGCATCTTGCAATCCCCTATTTCCCTGTAATGGTCAAAAGAGTCTAAGGAAAGGATTTTGTGTTTCTGTTTTGAATTGTACATTGGTTTGATTTATATTTTTGTTAAAGATGAAAGAAATTGGGAATGTGCTCAAGGAAGGGAGGCCATGGAGGAGACGTTGGAAACGCATGGAAGATCAAAGAAAATAGTGGAGTGAGGTCTTGGCAGGTTGAACTCAGAGCGGAGCTGGCAGGAGGCAGGAAAGTGGCTCAGGCCGAGGAGTTTGTGGAAAGTTGACACATTGGCAGCCAAGCCCAGTGGGTCAGCCTCCATGTGTCATCAGCTGAGTGGCAAGGCGGGGTGGTGTTGGGACTTGAAGGGGAAGATGAAAGCTTGGAAGAAGCCCTGAAGGAGAAGGGAGGAAACTGACTAGGGAGCAGTGGCCAGCGTGAGACAACGCAGGAAGTGGGTGATGATGGAGGTCTGCACAGCTGTGCCAACCGCTCGCACCAGGCTCTTGGGTGTAGGAATGGCTGAGGCAGGCCGCTGGACTGATTGGTGGTAAGTGTGCTGGGCTACTCTGAGCTGACCTATTTCTTTGAAGAATGCACAACTTTACAAAGATAGATTGAGGTAGAGGTACTTGCCCAAACAGGTATCTGCACTTCTAGAAAGCTGTGGTTATCAGTGCAGCAAGGCATTCATGCATCAATAGACAAGGCAGTGGAATAAACAGAACAGAATAGAGAGCCCAGAACAGACTTATACAGTTGTGGAAACTAGTTATGTGTCAAAGGTTACATTACAGTGCAATGGAAAGTGTTCAGTATTCAACAAATAATGCTGAGAGTGTCAAATATCCATGTGGGAGAAAATGAAATGAAATCTCTACCCCATACCACACAAGAATCAATTCCAGGAAAATTAAAACCTTTACTTTTTGCAAAACTAGACAGGAGAATATTCTCATGATATTTTGGAAAGAGTTTCTTAAGACACAAAATTAGAAACCATAAAGAAAAAGTTTGATTTTAAAATCAAGAACTTAATCAGAAAAAAAAATAAGCCACGAATGAGAAATCTTTAAAGAACACATAGCCAAGAAAGCATCACTTTTCAGAGTACACCAGGAACCCCCAGAAAAGGAGGAAAATCATGTTTCAGAAAATACAACCACCCAAAAAAGTAGGAAAAACCTGCCCTAATGGGCAAAAGACCATTCCAGTAAAGAGGAAAACATGAAGCTAATAAACTTCCAAAAATACTTTAAGTCTCACTAAAATCAAGAAAATGCACAATGGGTTACTAGTTGTCATCTGCCAGATTGGTAAGAAACTTTTAATCAATAAAACAGTGAATGGGGCAAAGGGACTCTCATCTGCTGGTGGAATGTATATCAGTGGAACCACCTGGCTGGCCAACTTGGCATTATTTAGAAAAGTGGAAACTGCAGATTCTCCATAAAGCAGAATTTCCTCACCTGGGTGTTCACCACAGAAAGCCTCTTGCTCGTGTACCTAGAGCCAAGTATAAGTATGTAAGAACAAAAACTGGTAAGTTTAACAAAAGATTGATGGGGAAAAAATGTGATACACAATTTTGGTTACCATGGGATCCTGCAGGTGGAGGCGAGAGTTCCCACTCGCATGAGTTTCACAGACGTGCAGAGCGGGAGCTGCCTTTGTTTCGACACAAGGGAAAGGGAACTAACGGCTGCATTTGTCAGCAACAATGAATCTAAAACACACTTCGAGTGACAAAGGCAAATTGCAGAATTAAATATGTATTCTGACATCATTTATATAGAGTTCAGAAATATGGAGCTAAATACTCTTTGGAAATACATATATATGCATCAAAACCTTGTAAAGAAATGCAAGCGGAAGGTAAGCCCAGGTTTCAGGAGAATGGTTGTTTCTGGTAGGAGGGAGGAGGATGAAAGTGAGTTTTATTTCCTTTCTTATGGAAGACTCCAAAAACTGTCTAATCGTTGAGCCCTGAAAACTTGGATCCACACCTGCATACGAGTTATATCTTATACACACCAAGTATTTCATAAATTTTAGCATGGAAAAATGAGACTGCTTGCCTCCCAGGCTTGTGTTCCAGGCCTGAGTGTATCCTCCAGCCTGCTCTCAGCCTTAGGTTTTATTAACCTCATTACATGAAATTCTTAAGTCTTTCCAAATTCC